TCTTATGAAATTAACTTACTTTAATCTATTTTTATCTATTGCTACCTAATCATATATGTATTTATTAGAGTACCTATATATATATATGTGATACTTGTTGATTTCATAAATCTTCCTTGACATGATGTTGATCTCCGATCTATAATTAATAAGTGCTAAGATGTGCTCTTTGAGGTCTTTCAGTCACAATTGAGCCTCCATGGTAGCCCTAATTCAAAAAAGATGTGTAAATTGAGCACTTATCTTCTCACCCTCAAACCTTCTATGAAAAGTACAATTAAACATATTTACTTCACTTATGTCTACATCATGCTCCATCTCTATGCCGCTTCTTACTTCTCCTTAATTTTTGCTTCTATCATAGTCTTAAGTAGTCACCTCCTTCTTTTTAAGTGGCATCTCCTTAAACATAGGTACAAAAAGTTGGAAGAAGCTTTGTCCTATCTCTTGGTCATCTTCTTCCATCAAATAAGAATCCAATGTCTTTACCACAATCTTCTCCACCATCATTTGTTTCTTTTTCTTAATGTCATTAATGATAAGCTCATAGAAGTGCTTCTTTGTAATGCCAAGTATTTTCCTCAAGGTGAACTCAATTTTTGCATCAAGAATCTTCTCTTCTAGAATTTCTTTCATATCAATAGAGCTTTTAATGTCCAATTGAAGCTTATAAGAAGGACCTTTATCTTTAGGCTTGTCTAAACCTTCTTTTTTCTTATCTTTTGCTCTACTTTCTTGAGCTTCAACTCCATTATTTTGTAAATGAAGCCATTCCTTAAGCTTTTGGATAGGAAGATCCTTCTGCTCCTTGAGTAAACTTCCTAATCCTTCATAGCTTCCTCTTATTGAAAATTTTTTCCACTTCTTTAAAAAAATCTTTTTTTTTTTTTTTTTTTTTTTTTTTTATTCCACAATAGCATCTTCATTCTCTAAATATTTATTACTACTTATAAAGACTTTGATGCTAATAGCATCAACTGCATCATATTAATCTATTGCCCTCAAAATAGCTTCTATTCTTCTAACCAAAGCCTCTCTCGGTGGTATTGAGGTAGCCATCATACCTTTGGTTTCTACCTCAATGAGATAAGACTCAGCCTTTTTCACATACAATCCACTTCCTCTTCCAACAAAGCCCACTATAAGCTTCTTCATACCTCTTCTTCTAAAAATTGAATTCCAAAGGTTGCTTCCATAGCAATGAACCTAACTCTACTTTTTTTGAAAAAAATAACTCCTTTTTTCAAGTCCTCATTATAATCAAAGAAAATTTTCTTTTTATACTTGAAACTATTACAATACATGCACCTCTTAATAAATCCCTTTAATTCCTGTAATACATGCAAAGAAATAGCCCTTTGGTTTTTTTCAACTCACTCATTTTCATTCTTAATTTTCTCATGTCTTTAACCAACTCCTGAAGGATATCTTCGAAAATAGACTTACAAGTCTCTTGGATTAGAGTAGATGTTACTAGATTTGATGGAATAATTTTTATCATAGATGGTAGAGCTTCTCGCCTTAAAGCTCTTTCTCTTGCCTTCATCCATTGTTGCTTGATCACTAATAACACCATATCCTCCACTTTCTTCTAATCATTACTTAAACCTCTATCGGTGGACTTATTAGCTAAGAGGACAAAAAATATATCCCCTAGTGCTTCATCCATTGCTTGCAAGAAGAGCTTGGTCTTCTTTGCATTCAATAAAAGTCTCTCTAAAGATGAGAGTTGAGAGAATTTTCTCTCAAACTCCCTAAGCAACTAATTCGAGGCTATAGACCTTCCTCATTGTTGCTCTTCATGACTCTCTCCAAATCCTCATCAAAAAAAATTATCTCTTAATCTCTTTTCAAAGTCACTCCACACTTCTAAATTATTTCCATGAAAATCTTTTATCTTCTTTCTAATTTCAAGAATGCATGCTAATTCAATACCAAGAATATAGTAAGACTCTAGGACTTGATGTACTTCTATCACTTCAACACATGCTTGAAGAAATTAATGATGTTCCTTTTATCAAACCTCCCATACTTGTTGACCATGCCTTGTAATACCTTAGTCATCTCTTTTTTACTTGATTGTACCTTTTGTTGTCTCTCAATGAACATATTCAAAGCCAAGAGCAAATCATTGGTACTTGCTCCCTCAGTTCTACTTGCACCAACTCCTCCAAAATCACCCATCATCTTTGAATATCAAAATTCTCTCACTTTCTTCCTTTTAACTCTTGAATTCTTCTTCATGCTCCAAGCTTGTATCTTAGCTCTATAACTCCATTGTACTCCACTTCTACTTCCAATTGCCTCTAGGATGCTGTCAATAGAAGCACCAAATTTTTGTCAAGAAGGTAAGCCTCCTCAAGAGAACATAGGATCCTTAATCATAAGTAGGTTACAAGAAGGCACAATGTTGTCTCAAATAAAATCAGATATAAAAGCCAGTCCAAAGACTAGATACAATTTATAGACTAATTTTGTTCTTTTCCCAGAATGCATCAAATTGTTAACTCTAATCTCAAATTTAAATTCCTTTTTATTAAAATATCTATAATTTATTTATTATTGAGTCAACCTAGGAAAAGTTTGTTCACTATGGATAAATAAATAAATAAATAAATAATCGAATAATTGGCATAAAAAATCTCAAATTAGTCTTAAAATTTGCTACCCAAAAATTCCAGCAATCCCTTCTTACAAATTTGCTTAAATCTCTCTTGTCACAATTCTATTTTTTATGTGATAAGGCTTATTAGAAAGTTCACAATCAAATCTAACTTTCTTTCAAATATCAATACAAATAGATAGAAATACAAGAAGTGGCATAGAAAATCTTGAACCAATGTTGAATCTCTTCTCTCAAAAACTTTAGCTTCTCCCTTCCTACAAATCTGCTTCAATCTTCCTCCTCTCAATTCCATTTCTTGTGTGCTATAGCTTATTGAAAAGCTGACAACTAGATCAAGCGATTATTCTAAATATCAAGATAAAAGATAAAAATATAAGAAGTAGCATAGAAAATCCCAAACCAATGTTGTATCTCCTCTCCCAAAAATTCTAGCATCTTCCTACCTACAACTGAAATTAATTATCCTCCAAATAACTTAAATGCACTTAAATTAAGTGCATCATGACAATGCTAATAGATGCCACCATTCAACATAGCTAGTACCACAAATCAATACTCAATAGAACTTGAATCAAAAGTAAAAGTAGAACTTTCAAATCCATAGTATGGAATATTCATCATTGCCTTTTGTTGAAGGAATGATATGATAAAAAGTTTAAAAATCTTTGATTGGTTTTTGAGTTTCATTTGAGATGAATGAACAATTAAGAGTTTGTTTTGTGCTTGCAGGCTTATAACTAATACAAATGTTGGCAAACATCTGTTTTTGAATTTCATTTGAGATGAATGAACAATTAAGAGTTTGCTTTGTGCTTGCAAGCTTATAACTAATACAAATGTTGGCAAACATCTGTTAAATATTGTTGAATGTTTTACATATATATATTTATATATATATATAAATTTGGTTTCTTTTATAGAATTGTATTGTAAGGAATTGCCAATGTCTTCTTTTTCAATGTATTTTTTCAATCAAAACAAACTTGTCCTTATTTTTACATTATTTTATTTTTGTATTGTTAATTGTTGCTCAATATATACACTCATACATACTTCACATATACAAATACATTCCATGATTTCACTCTATGATAACTAGACATGCTTATTTCTTATTCTTTTTAAATGATTGTATTTATCATCCTAAATTAATTAGTTAGTTAGTTATTTTAAAATTCATATAAGTATTATTTTAAAATTCTATTTTAATTAGACAAGAAAATTAAGTTCTTTTTATATAAACAAAGCAAAGTATCTAAAGGTCATAGTTTTCATCTTTATTCTATTTGAATTTATTATTATAAAATTTGATTAATAAATTTTTAGAATAAGTAATATAAAACACATATCATTCTTATATAAGAAATAAAATCATACAATAATTATTTTTAAAAAATAAAAATCAAGTGATTATTTAAAATTTACACATGATATTACGATTTTTTTAGTTATTTAAATAATTAGTACTCTACAAAAAAAAATTACTTCTTTATATATTTTTTCAAAAATAATAATAATCAAATGAATTGTGATATACCTAGCTACTGTCATTCACTAGTTTTCTTTTTTCTTTTTTCTCTCTTCTCTCCTTTTGCTTAGTTGCTAAAATAATATAATAGTTATTTCTTTTGCAAAATTGAGGCTATAACGTGCAATTGATGTAAATCACTGTACCACCATCTTTATAGAGAAGAAATAAGAGTATTCAGGGGAACATTTCATTCGTTGGATCGAAAGAGAACTCTATCGAGGATGGATGAAGAATAAGGGATGAGGAATCAAGGAGCCATGGCGGGAGTAGGAGGAGTTTGTCATATTCCTTTATTGATTAAAGTGATTCAACCGCGGGAGAGTTCCGGAATAGCGGACAACACAATGGCGTGGGAATAGGGCAAAGTGCTGATGTGGCACGGTGGGTAACGGGACGCGCATGGGGTTTCGCACCCAAAGCCGGGCCGCAATCTGGCTTTGTCGTCTTCTTCTTCCCTTTGTTTCCGTTCAGTTTCCAGCCAGAGGTGGCATGATCTGTTTGTGCTAAAGCGTGTGCGGCAAAAGTTGCATTTGCACAAAGCCGATTAAGCGATGCATTCCAGCGCTTGCGATGGGAGAATCATGAACTGTTCGAGATGGCCTGTATTTTTTGCTTCCGATCGTAGGCTTGAGAGTGACATGCAGGGCGGAGTTACGATGGTTCGAGCCTTCCGAATGAGAGCGTGTTTAGTGTAGTGCGGAGATGATTGTGGCGTATTTTGATTGTAAAAGTGACTTCCGCGTTGTATTTGTTTCGGTCAAATGCTGGAGGTGGAACTAGACCTCGAGGTTGAGGCGAAAAGGTGACGATGATGCTGGTGTGAGGACTAGTGTGAAGGTCGGTTGCTGGAAGCCAGTTGAATATTTTAGTGTGGAGTTTTGATGAGTGATGCCCTGTATGGAAGGAAGAGTTGGTGAGGTGTAAAGTAATTGCTGTTTCGGTAGCGCCCGAGCTTTAGCGTGTGGAGGAAGTGTCTTTGTTTGGATTTGGATATAGTCGTTTTTGTGCCCCGACTGGGACGATCCACCAAGTGCTATTCTTTAATGTCCAATTCGAGTCTTCTATCGTTGGCAATATTCCGCCTCTCGCCAGGGATTTCGGTCCCAGGATGTAATCGCATGCGAGGGTTTAGCGTGATTTGACCATCAAAAGCTCATGCGAAAGTAACATTTCTACTCGTCATATTTATCTCCCTACCACTTGTGTACTCGTGCCCTGGAGTAGCACCCTTGATGTGTTTCGTACATGGCCTTGGAGATTTGTCAATCATTTCAACTATCGAGACCGTTGTCATTTTGACTAGTTTTCCGGGAGAAGATCCTTGGTTGGATTACATGTAATTCCGACGGATGATGAGGTTTGGATTTTCTTCTTGCTTGTGTTGGTTCAGCCAAGGTAGTAAGTTCCGTGTATTCGCCAATGACCGCCGAGAGTTGGCGGTACTCTCGTGCATGTTCCATGAATATACTGGACTCGTGCCTTCTGTTTCTCTTCTTGGTCTTTTCTTCTTAGTGTTCTCTTGATTATCGTAGTATTATGTGCATGACCTCTTGCCATTGTGTCATACCTGCGGTCGTGTACTCCCAATATTTACCTTCCTCGAGGAGATGCAGCCATGTAGCCTAATCTTTAGAGGAGGTATCTAGGTCTCTTCTTTGCGCCATCTTCTTGGAGAGTGCTGATGTGCACAACTCAGCCAGAAGCTATTTTCTTTTTCGTGTCTTTATCCAATGAAGAACGCTGCGGATGCAGCTTCCTGCAGAGCCTCGCTGTAGTGTTCGGAACGAGGGGCTTCGCTGCTTAGGGAGTTAGGATAACCTTCTTGTGTCTCATTTCTTGGGAACTATTCCTTGGTGCGTCGCAAGGTTTCCCTAACTGAAGCTTGCAAATCCGCGAACTGCATATGATTGAGTCGACGGTGCTGCTCCAGAGCAGCCACAAGGGTCCTGCCTCTTACGTACCCTTTCTCAATGTGGTGTTCATTAAGTTTGTGACACAACATTGACTTCAGTCAATTTGCGGCTCTGCAGAAATTGGTATTCTCAAGGTTGGATCTCTTGAAGTGCGATCTGAGAGGGGGAGTCCCAGAGCTTTCTACGCTATTTTCCACTGACTAAATCATGGAAGTCAATGCATTCGACGAGCTCGTTCCCATCGATGACCAGATAAATGAGAGCGACGACTCCGCTTGTTGGCTATGGCGAGATGACGCGTTCAAATTGGACTCAGAATCAAACATAGGTCAGTCCAAACTTCCTCGTAGTATATAGTTCTATCCGATGTGTGCTCCTCCTTTTCCTGAGTAACATCTTATTTCATGCATTGAAATGTGGCGTGAAATTGGTTGATCTAGGCTTTAGAGCGCCTGCAGAATATATCTGCTGCAATGTGTACCTCCGAATGGGAATATCTTTTGAGACCAGTTTGTTTTTATGCTGCAGCTATGGTCAAGTCTTTCTGGGACGATTTGACTCAAAATGATGAGGAGATATTCGCCTCGACTCCGCCAATTGAGAATGAAAAGAGATTAAGCTCTTTGTATTTCTCCCTAGGTAGTCAGTAAATTGCCTTGTCTTTAGCGTCGATATAGGTATTATCATAAATAGTTTACGCAATCAAGGGAAACCTCCTGAGTGGCAGTTATTGAACGAGGTTTTGTTTGTTATGTATTGCACACTTTTCCTATGGTAGAGTTAGCTCATTGTACATGACTGGTAATCATGAAGAAGTAAAATTTTTGCAGTCAGCTGGACTAATTTTCCGTTTCTTCCCAACAGAAAGTGACAATGCTAGTTCTACTAGTTATAGTGCTGAAAATTGTGGACGAATAAAGAGACGTAAAATGTTGCACTTCTCTTGCACTAGTAAGGAACCCGTCCCTGTTTCTTCATTGGAATTCGAATCTGCCTCAGCGAACAAGTCACCTTTTGCGGTACTCGTCCATTTCTTCGTCGCAACCTTCCAGCATTACTATTTCAGTGGTCTTATTTCTAGAACTAGCATGCCATATTGCCTGACATTCTCCTGCTACAGAGCTGCGTGAATTTACTGGACCCTGAAGCTGACGAATTTCTCGTGCCGGTTCCCTCGTTGTCTAGTAATTTTTGGTGCTCCAAAGATGGTACGTCAATAGAACATACTTTGTGTGGTCATATTTAAAGTTCCTTTTAGTGAGTTCTTCATGGTTTGTGGTTCTAGTTCTGATATTTGTTCTACTTGTCTTCCACAACGTCTTTTTAGAAGTTGGGAACGGTGCTGACGACAAATGGCTGTCGAAGCGTGAGGAGCCCCACCGTCCACCTGAAAAAGAGTAAGTGAATCTGTTTGTGGAATTTTGTGTTGTGCGTTGCTTTGATGCAAACAAGTAATTATTCCCACAGCAGTTTGCTGATTTTGCTTTCATTCTCAAGCTTATCCTAGCTCTTGGTGTCTGTTTAACATCACCGTGCTTAACGCTGTCTGTTTGTCTGTTGTATACTTCAGAAAAGTTGTGATGCAGACTACCAGTCGAACTGAAGGATCAGGTAATTTCATGATGACTTGAAACCGTTTCAATGTCATTTTCTGATAGAAGTTGAGACCTGGACCAGAGAAACTGAAATCTATTTTGTTGATCGAGAGCAGGTTCAATGGTGCAGTCTTCGTCAACTTCTGAAGGAGAGGGGTTGCAAAGGCCTCTAACACCATTTTCAAAGGGGTCTACTCCTGGTACCTCATTCAAACAACAAGCTGATCATTCAGAAATCGGTTGTAAATCTTTATCATCCTTTTCCTTCCTATTGCTGAGCATGTAGTATCTGTCTTGTAGGATGGAGATCCAGTCCTCTGACAAGGTTCCGAGTTCAAGCTACGCCTGTAGCCTACCCATTTAACTTAGTGAAACCAAATATTGCTCATGGTGATGTCACATTAAGTGATATAAATCAGCGAATCAAGAGTACATCTCCAAACCCTACTCGTTATCAGACTTCAAGAGGCGAACAGAAGTCCCTAGCTCAGTCTGGATTAGGTCTTTCAGGAAAGGCCGTAGTGGAGTGTACCAAGATTCACACTGAAGGCAATGGTACCATCACGATCATGAAAACCCGAGGGTAGAGATGAAAATTTGAAAGGGGTACCCTTCCAAGTACCCATTTAAGGAGCTTTTTAGATCCTAATCTTGCTGGCTCTGGCTCTGAATTTGGTTAGGAAATTCCGTGAATTGTTGTTTACTTTTTAAAAAATCCTTTTCAGAGAGTGTATATATTTAACAGTCACACAACGAGGAGCGGGCCTTGTTGATGACAACGCAGGGTCTGATGTCTCGCAGTTAGCGAGATGGATTGAAATGAGTTTAAAATTACTAGCCTAAGTTTAGAAAGTCTGTTTCTGTTGCTCAGAGGCCCATAAAACTACATTGTGTATTATATGGTGGGACTTCCAGCAACTTCCAGCCGTAGTATGGCTGTGGGACATGTTTGTATTGTAAATCAGACATGTAAGGATCAGAGATTTCAAACTTGACTCTGTAATGTTGAAGGTTAAGGACATGTTCTTGCATGCATCATTTACTTAGTCTTTGGACTTTTCCTTTTTCCCTCTGATTTTCCTGCGAGTTCCCTGTTGTCTTCGTGTCCCTGGAAACTCACACTTTCTGCTCTGCAAGTGAACTTATTTTCCGGTTCCTGCGCCGTTTCATTTTTCGTGATGAACTAAGTACTGAAGAACCACCACATAACAGATATTGCAGTATTGGGCTAACGTGTGACCTTGTTTGGACATTGAGTGATATTGATAGCCCTGTACTGCAGGTACCTCATCCTTGAACTGAGCGTTATACGTGGACAGAAATCTCCCACCAGGTAGCCTTCCCCTGAGATTTGAGCAACTTACCGGGGTTGCTTCTTTGTGCAAACCTACCAACTCTGCGAGCCATGCACATCTGTAGACTAAAAGCGTATACTCCAAGCTCAATAGGCACCCACTTCAAATTTCCCGGTTCAACATACTGTTCGGGATAAAGAAACGTGTTAATTCCGATTTCAAACAACCCAGTTCCAGGAGGGACGTGCCACCTCACACCCTTCCCGACGGTCCGAAGGAACATGCAGAAATACTAAGTTTGTAAGTTCCTACCTATTCTTCATTCTCACTGAAGCAGTTGAGGAGAATTTATTTTTAGCTTTATTTTTTTGTCCCCGTGCCTTTGTCTGGATGCCGGGGGATCTTTGCACTTGATTTGCAGACAATTGAAAATCACAGCTTGAAGGATGCAATGTCTGCATCAATGCTTGGACATTTATGTCACTCCATAAATCATATTCCAAAGGATCAATTATTTTTTTAAAATTAAAATTAAAAATCTTCAATTGAACTAAGTTTGGATATACTATAAACGGAAGCATACTAAGCAGTAACTTAACTATTGTCCTAACTAATTTTGTTTTTGGACATCACCCCAAAAATTTTAATGTTTTCAGCAGTGGCTTCAGATGGATCTATATGGAATTCAACTTAATATGAAACAAACCAAAATGAAATTTCCGGTCAAAATCTTGTGTAGTTATACGTTTCTCCTTTAATTAAGAGCACATTTCGTTGAATACGTAGAGTCACCAAGGAAAAAGATCCTTGAAGAACTGCTTTTCACGGTGCAGATGTGGGACGAGCATCTCACTGATCGACAGATTTAAGATGTCTGAACATGGTAAGCTATCCAAGAGGCAGAGGAGGAGGAGGAGCAGGAGGAGGAGGAAGTGGGAATCGGAGACAGCGTTACTCCGAATCAGATTACGCCAAAGGTTCCAGGACAGCCTGGGTGAACTAGATATCCTGCTCGCATGAAGGGTGAAAGGAATCACAGAGCATTCAGTCTCGGTTGTTCCGCCAGCGGTGTGAACCTTGAATCCAGCGGCGAAAAGTTGAGATGGGAGGTTATAACTGGTGGGGATGTGCGTTTGAGAGAGTGAGAGATAGAGGCACCACGTCAAATTTGTCCCGAATTCTGTCTGAATTCGTGAGCATCGGGGAGATGGACAAGTGAGATGCCACATGCCTTGGACTGGAATTTCAAATCGACACATTTGGTTTGCAACTGAGAGAAATGCATTTGTGATAACGAGCTTCCTCGAAGTGAGGGGGCCCTCGACACTGTGGACTCGTCGTAATCCTGGAAACAGCCAATTCCCATCGCCCGTGGATGCCCCGGGTCCCAATGAGCCGGTGGGTGAACCTGGCGAGGGTGGACAGCCTTGTATCCTCCTTCGCCGGGAAGGATTCTGAACTTCCCTACAGACTTGTTGATTTCCACTCATCCACACTGGCGTCCGATCAAATTCCACCCCTCCACCCTCTTTCTCCTCTTTCATGTCTTTTGAATCACCTTGCAGATGTACTCCATTTCATTGGTAACTTCAGTGGATGGAAATTTTATAAATTATGAAGGAATATTAGTTAAAAGACATAAGTTTGTGACCTAGACATGACAAGCGTTCCAGGAAATATTATCACGGAAGCCAGAAATATTATTTAAGAGGTATCAATTAATTGGGGTACATCTATATTGGATTTAACTACATATTTTAGACTAGGGCTTGAATGTTGTATGTTGGAACAATTAGTGAAAGAGAACAATTAGTTAAAGAGTAGGTAATTGCTGAAGGATGGAAATTCTTTTGGAGAAAAAGTTAATAGTTGGTAATCGTTGACGTTGATTGTCTTTGAATAAATTTTGTATCATAAGGAACTCTTATCACAGCATTAAATATAATCTCTTTTCTTTTTCCAACGAATACTTTTCAGTAATAATTTGAATTTGGATTTTTTTTTTTTTTTTTTTTTTTTTTTTTTCCCGTTAAGGTAGTTCTTAGTATTTAGGCAAAACCATTTGTTGAAATATAACCATTTTTTTAGTTTTTTAAAGGAAAAAATTGTGGTTGTAATATTTATTTTTATCCTTATTTTATAATACCTAATTTTATTCTTAGAAGTTTGAGAGGAATTTGGAACATATCAAAAAAATTGACTGTTATTTTGGATTTTTTATTATTTTTTAATTTGGCATTCAATTTTCTTCTGAATTTCTTTTAAAATTTAGAAAATTATTAACCTAACATATCTATAAACACATTTAGATTTATTTCATTTAAATTTTACTTTATAAATTTACTCAATTTAATTTTTCTTTTCATGTGATATAGATGTGATGTGTGCAGAAGTATTACACCAGGACAAACACAATTGGAATAGTTCACAAATACATATAAATTACTTTAAATAATTTAAATTTTCTTAGACTTATGATTCTAAAAATATTTACTATCGTATTATTGTAACTTTTATTTAACAATATCTTGTGTTTTTTTATACAATTTCACTAAAAACATAATTTTTAAAATTTAAAACATTGTCATTACTTTGTAACTTTTTGTAACTTTTTTAGAAAATCATTTATTTATAATATATAAAACTTTACTTGACCTTTGTTATTTTGACTTTAAATTATTTAAATGCAAAATTTATGATAAAATGACACTTTAAAATTAAAATTAAAATTTCAAACTTTAAAAATAAATGTGGTTGAATTTTATTTATCTTATCATTTTGTTATAAAAGAACAGAATAAGATGTAGCTTAATTTTTGTTCTAAAATGTTAAGCAACAAGTTTAAAGTGAATTTTATATACTGTTAACTGGTCTCCATTAAAAATTATAAGTATTTTTATTTTATTCCTAATAATGAATAATATATGAATATAATATGGATTAAAATTAATATATCATTAAAGATATTATAACCGATTTTTTTATAAAAAAATTGGGTATTGTAATATAATCACAACAAATCATCTCAAATAACATAATATTAAGTGTCATCAAATAAAATTTACTTGAAAACGAAGTCTATTCTTCTTTTAGACGCTTTATCTTAGCAAAAAAATGGACGTGGTCCATAGACTATAAAAGTTGGAAAACATATATTAATGAGTAATTTTTATTCTATGTGAAGTTTAAATGAAAATTTTTAAAATTTATTTTTATTTATGTGTTTAGTATTTATGAATATTTATATACTCAATTAAATATTTTAAATTTATTTTAAAAATTAACATAAAAGATTTTTAGAAAATATAAAAAATGTAGGACTTATGACTAAGATTTGTTTTAAAGAAGAAAAAATAGTTAAATAAAAAAATGTATTACAAGTATATGATATAATTTCAAATATTATTACTTATCACAAATAAAAATCATTTCAAAAAAAGATATAATTTTTCTTTAAGAGTTTATCCTTTTGATTTTTTACATTGTGTGTCTATACGCAAGGATATTATTAGAATATACTTATACAAAAAATATACATAAAAAATAATATGTGTAATATATATATATATATATATATATATATATATTTAATAGAGATTAAATGCTGTATTATTTTTGGTCTATTGAAATTTTTTTTTAGAGTATGTCGTATTTTAGATTTTGAGAATATAATTTAGTATTATTTATAATTTAAGAGTTTAAAAAAATAATTCTTTTGTACTATAAGATCTTCTTATATTTAAATATATATATATATATATATATATATATATATATATTAGAAAAAAAAATATTATTATTATTATTATTATTATTATTATTTACATGTTTCATTGAGTATTATTAGATTGAATGTTAAATTATAAATTCTAACCTTAAATATACTATGTCATTAGAAGTAATAAAGTTTTTTAATTCTGAGACAAGCTAAGATAGTAAGAAACAAAAAAGATAAAATAGTTTAGTTTAGATCAGGACACCAATTAAATCAGTCAAAAACTAAGATTATTACAAAACTAAAGATAGGAAGATATATTTTTTTTTTTTTTTTTTTTCCAAAGACTAATTATCTACTTTATAGTTATATTTTGAAACAAAGAAATCTCTTTTAGCATGTAGATGATATCTTCTTTTAAGTTCAACTTAATTACACAGCTATTTGAACATACAAAATCTTAAGATTGATAAGTATCAATAAAAATATTTCAAGGCAATTAAAATAATATATCCAAATTTTTAATAAAATAAGTTTGGATAAAATTTTAAAATATATTTATCTACATATTTTTATAAATATATATATATAATATAATATATATATATATATATATATATATAAAATAAGATAGATAGATATTTCTAAATACAATTAAACATAATTTTAATTAAAATTTTTAAAAATTAAATCATTGATAAGACTATGTATAATCTTAGTCTTGCTTTCATAATACTATCTAGCAAGAATGTTATTCTATAGCTTTTAAAAGTCTACATGGCTTGTATGACAAGTATGAAAATTATAAGATGATTCTGTAGTTTTTATTATAATATAAAAAAAAAGTCATAGGATAAACTTTTATAACCATGTGGTATATTTAGAAAAATATATTAATTTAATCTATATTAAAAAAATATTTATAGATAATTCTTGAAAAAAGTGTTATCATCTCAATATATTTTTTCTTACTTCTATTTATTTTATTTACATTTTTGTTCAATAACATAGTTATAAGATGAAAGAAA